CCCCTTGCCATTTCGAATTATCGGGACTCTACTGTATATGTAGTTATATGGATTGAGCTCACTGGAACTTAAGCCATCCGCCTATCTGAGACGAATTCCAAAATTTGTCCATTGTTGTCATTATAACAGATTCCAAATGAAATAAAAATTTAAAAAAGAAACTTTTTACAAATATTTAAAATTGACTATCCTTAAAGTTTTCTTCATAGTAATCCCCATTTAATAAGAAACAGTTGTGTAGCTCCATAAAACACTTCATATACAGTAAAATACGGCTATAATGACGCCGCTTATAGCGTTCCCCAGATAAATTTATTTGGTTATTGCGTCTTCCGGTGATACCGGGACGGTCTCTTAAGCGACGTTATAGCCGGACTCTACTGTATACATTAATATAGCTTATATGTAAACTGCCACTCTGCACTATGGCTAGGGTATCTGCTAGTCAGGCACTCAGCTCATATAACAGCTAAATTAAACAATACCATCTTAAGAAAACTTAAGATATACCACTATTATTTCTATCTATACTTATTATAACAGCCGTATACTATATATTGTGCATATCGCTTATATGCAAATAAACTCCTGCTACGTCTCTCACTCGAGAGAGCTCTGCAGAGAGAGCTATATAGAAATCGGAGAAAGAAATATTATGATGAATGACTTACGTTTGCAGCGAGGCGAGATTGGTGGCTGAGGCGCCGACGCCGCATGCCGTGGAATGCATTTGCTTGGCTCTGTTGTTGTTATTGTTCCGGCCAATGAATTTGCTCGACGCTGTGCGTATTAGCTGGAGTTGGCTGCACTTGTTGCAAATTGCCAATGAATTTTCGCGCCAGCTGTGCACCGAATTTCCCGCTAACCGTGTGGCAAGTGTTGCAGCGTAAAAGAAAAAAACAGAAAACAAAAAAAAAAAAAATGCAAAACAAATCGAGCACACGCGAAAACCAATATGCCCGTTGGGTAACACGCTGCGCTGCTTAGCTGGGTAGAGCAAAAATTTATAGGAAATATTAAAACACACACGCGCGCTCTGCTGGACGCGTGAACAGGTGCAATTGCAGTAACTGCTAGTTACGGTTGGGTTTTATTTTTGGGTCGAATCAAGCGAATTCACAGCTCGGCGCACGACGTTCCATCTCTGACTGAATAACCATTTCCGCTGAGGATGCTCAGAGACCACCGAAACGGCGGCGGCGGCGGTGCCAGCAGCAATGACTACTCCCATTTAAACACACACACACACACATGCTCACACCCACGTGGCTGATCTATCTAGATGTTGTTGTTGTTGTTGCTGTTCTTGATATTGCTTAGCATAAACATACCAAAAAAAAAAAAAAAAAGAATAAAAGAAGGAAATTAAATGCCGCAGCGCTTTGCTCATGAGCTGAGTTATGTGTGTGTCGGTGTGTGTGTGTATTTGTGTGCAGGCAATGAAACACATAGACACCCATACACACACACACACACACACACACACATTAAGTTGGCAATGCATGTCATTGTGCTCACATTGAAAACAGTCAAACAAATCAAAGAACCTAAACAAAAGTTAACAGCAATCGAAATGTGCGCTACACGGCGTATGCGTAATATTCGATTATGTATGC